TAGTACCGATTCAATATTAGTGAAGATTCCTCTTATTATAGTCATATGGATGTTTCCTTTGATGGTTAAATTTATTTGGATCGTGCATATTTATGGTGTTTAAGATTGAGATATATAAATAAAATAGAATGAATAAAATGGTAAAAAAGCGGCTTACTCCCCAATTTAGGAGAAATTATTTTTAAAAAATGTGAGCCATGTCTTTCAGGTGAATCAACTAAAAAAGACTTTCCTTAAAGGAAGAAGGTTTAATGAACTTCTTAACTTTGATATATGTGAGCCATAACATGTAAAAAACACATTAATTAGTAGAAAAACAAATGTTTTAGAAACACTTAAAGAATATATATAGAATATAGATGACCATTATTGTTATAGATATGTATACCTAATCAATTGAAAATTAAATGCATTAGTAAAATTTAAAGAATATAAAGCTTAGATAGAAATCAACTAGGGAGACATATCAAAATTCTTGGACTAGAATGCAAAGGTAAATATTGTTCTGCCTTATTTAACTCAATTTTGTAAGGAGCATAGTGTAATTCACCAAACCACTACAACATCTGAAAGTAAAATTAGAACTCTAATAAAAATGGTTAGGTCTATGATGAGCTATTCAGATTTATCATCTGATTTTGGAGTGAGGCTCTCAACAAAATATATATTATTAACCGTATTCCAAACTAAAGCCATAGGCCTAACACCTTATGAATTATGTATTAGTAGAAAGCCAGACCTTAGTATATTAAAGGTTTAGCGCTCTTGAGCACATGTACTTATACCACCATAAAATAGAGATAAATCACAAAATAAAACAATCAAATGTTGTCTTATAGGGCTAAAAAATTCTAAGGAGCTACAAATTTTATAACCATGATACTACATCTTTAGTAGAGGCCGCAATGCCCATTACTTAGAAAATATAGATGATGAATGTACTTTAGGTAAACATATTTCCATATGTGAAATTGATAAAGATAAGGGTCTCGAAGACTTTATTACTCAATCTCCCTCTATAATTGTTGGGCATAGTTCCCTTAAAACTAATATACTAGATAAACGCAAAAGAACTGCAACGCCGCCTACCACTTTAGATGAATTTTATGTGTTTATGAATAAAGATAGCTATTTTCCAATGCGTGAGGATACAATAGATGAACCTCAAAGCTACATTGAAGCTACTAGTTCACATGACTTAGCTAAGTGCATTCAAACTATGGATAATGATCCCATTAAAACAAATTAAGTCTGGGAGTTAGTTGATCTTCTTGTGGATAGAGAAGTCATTGGTTGCAAATGGGTCCTAAAGAAAAAAAAAAAATTTAATAGAAATTGATCCATAAAAAAAATATAAAGTTAGATTGGTAATTAAAGAGTTACTAGAAAGAAAGGTATAGATTATGCAGAGACCTACTATCTAGTAGCCGAATTTTACATTGAGTAGGATCATTTGTATATTCCAAGGTTTTTCAAAAAATAGATCAATGAACTAGATCGGCTACCCCAAAAACCATGTTGGATCGGTGGATCGACAATCCGGATCGAAGAATTTGCCGGTCTGAGCAAAAAAATTTCAAAAAAGCTACAATTTCTAAAAAAATCTAGTTTTTTAAGTTTCTAAAGAAATAGTGACAATTGCATTATAGTTGTTAATTATTGTATCAGAAGTGTGTAAGTACTGATAATCTGTCTTATGTTGAGTGTTTGTTGTCTATTAAGTTCATTAATAAAATTTAAAATGCAACTCATAGCAATAAAATGAATATCTAACTCTCTCTTTTTTGTAATAACTTAAGAGTTTTTACTTTAGTAGAATACGTTATTAGTAGAGAGATAGATAGAGAGAGAAAAAGAGAAAAAATTCATGGAATTTTAAGTGAGTTGGCCATGTTTGATGCGGCCGACCAAGTACAACACCTGCTAGGAGGTGCGAGGTAGTTTAATTACAAAAACTGAAAAGGGCAAAAGGTAGACCAAAAGGATGTGGCTAGAAGTTGTCCGAAAGATAAGGGACTTATGACCTCTTTAAAGATATAACATTTAATAGAGCAAAATGGAAAACCAGGTTTATGTAGTCGACCCCAATTAATTGGAAAAAAGCTAAAATGATTATGACAATAATTATTTATAAAGAGAGATTTAATAGAATTGATTATTGGTAGAGAGAGATTGAGACTAGGAGGGGGAAAGGGAGAGGTGAGGTGGACGTGGAGAGAGAGAAACCCATAGTCATTGATAGAGATAGAGATTAGAAAGAGATCCACCACGAATTGATCAGTATGTAATACTATGTAATGAACATTAAGAGAGAGAGTGGGCATAATGTCATGTCCCACATTGGACATGAGAGACATGAACGTTGAGAGCCACGGAGGGATGGATGCCAAGAACGAGAGAGAGAGAGAAGTGGTAGTAGTATTTGACGCCCAAACAAATGTCTCATTTTTGACATTTCAATAGCATGATGGCTTATAAAAAGGCTAGCTTCCCCCAATGGATTGCAAATATTGGTATCGTAATAATGCTGACCTATGTATGCACAATAGTTGACTAATGAGTCCAGGGGGTTGGGCCCACTCTTTTTTTTTTTTTGGGTAAATTTTGCAATTTTCAAAAAAAATTTAAAAAAATTTATCTTTCAAAAAATTCAAAATTGGCTCGATACTTATAGAACTGGCTAAATACTGCCAGAACTGGTACAGACCGGTTTGGACCTACCGATTTGATAGGGGACATGGACGGATCTCGATATATTATGGAATCCATAATGGTTAGGACGATTTCTGATCCGGATCGGGTGATTCCGAATACAGAATTAAAGGAAGTCATATGGATCAAACATTCAGAAAGATATGCAATTAAATGCTAAGAAAGCAAAGTATACAACCTTAATAAACCTTTATATGGTCTGAAACAATTTCTGGGCAATAGTACTTAATGCAATAACTAAAATTAGTTATATAGCTAATAGATTAGACCATTGTGTATATATTTGGAACAGTGGGAGCAATTTTTTTATCTTATTTGTGTATGTAGATAATATTTTGTTAGTTGTTAATCAGGGATAAGCCTCTTGTGCAATATGCATTAAAATAACAAGAGGTTGGAGCTTGAGACACAATAAAATTATTTCTAGAGAGTATTTTAAAGAGATTTAAGACAAAAAATTGTAGATACACCGATTGATAAAAGCTTGAAATTATAAAAAATATATGTCCATCAAATGATAGTGACAAATCTGATACAAAAATAATTCCATATGCTCAAGCTATTGGGTGTATAATGTACATTATGTTAGACATGATTTGAGTCATGCATTTGGTCTTCTAAATAGATTGCAGAGTAAACCTAGATGGTTTATTGGCAAGCTGTTAAAAAGATACTTAAGTATATTCATAACACTAAAAAGTACAAATTGTGCTTCCAAATTGATAATATTTATGTTATTAGGTACTTTGTTGCTGATTTTACAAGAGACCCAAGTGATCGAAAATCAACATTATGACATGTATTTCTCTTTGGAGGTGGATGTGTTTCTTGATCAAATAAGTAATAAGGTTATGTATCTCAATATATTATGGAAGCTGAGTATGTTGATTGTAGCATTGTTACTACTTATGACGTCTGAGGGATGCTTCCTAAAGGATTTGAAGTTGTATATAACCAACATACTAGGTTTTTTTTTTTTTGTGACAATAAGGTTGCCATCTCATTAATTAGCTCTAAAAGTAAGTACATTAAAATTGATTATCATCATACTTATAATATTATTGAAAAGAATGAAGTATATTATAAGTTATTTACATTCATTTGATATAATTGCACACCACTTGACAAAATGATTAAGTGTTGCGTGTAAGATTGATAGGACTTAAGAATATCTAAGTGAGAAACTCCTAAAGTGATATTTTTGAAGTTTTGGTCATGAGAGGAAATACTGCCAATAGCATGAAAAACCCCATGATTGAACTAACATGAAAAGCTTCATGATGAGAATATACATGTGAACAATAAATCCTCTAAGTAGCAATAGACCTTATGGTACATTCAACCATTATGGACAAACGAGAGATGTTGGTACATGTGTGGCTATGGTGTCTCACATGTACATTTGTAGAATATTTTATTTTGTTAAACCAATTTTAAAAAATAATATATGAATTAATTAGTTTTAAAAGGAGGAAGTTTTTTGAGAGAGAATTTTTTTTTTTTTTTTTTTTCACAGCAGCTCTTTGTACACGTTCCTTACTCCAAAATTTTGAGGGTCACTTCTTAAATATTTCATTAATGAAAATTGAAAGTTGGAGAACAACCTTTCTTCTCCATATAATAAGAATTTTAGGGCCATGAGAGACCCAATTAAAAAAGTTGTTCTTGATCATTCAAAAGCTTAGTCTCTCTATGATATACAATTGGACGACATTTCCATTAAATTTTGGGATTTTTTGGAGTTCTTCATTTTCCTTTTTTTCCAATACAAGTGGTTCAAAAAAATTTTAATTAAAATTTTAATTTAAAAAATAAAACAAATAAAATGGAACCCATGTGATTAAGGAGATCCAGATCACCTAGGTCTTAGGGGTGGCAATGCCAGGTTCCTTGACCAGGCTATCCTCAGGCCTAGCCTGACTCTAGTTCCCATAGGGGCGGCCTTGACTGGGCCAAAAAGGCCTTAGCACAACGTCGCCCCTAGCCTTAACATGCAGGGATGATCCAGGCCAAATATAATTTTAAAAAAAGAAAAATTAAAGAAAAAGAGGCCCAGTTGAACCGAGCCAGCCTTGGACCGGGCTTAGCCCAACCCAGCCCAGCCTCTCATTGAGCCACGGTTACCAGGCCCTGGCCCTGCCCTCGAGCCACATTTCATGGCTCAGGCCCAACTTTTTAACGGCCCTGGCGGCCGAGAAGGCCCGGTTACGCGACTCATTGCCACCCCTTCCGGGTCCGTTTCTTCAGCACAATCAAGCTAGTCCATAGTTGCCTGTGTAATCCACGTCATTACAGTAGACGTCCGACCATACCTGAGCCCATCCACCGTAAAATAAGCGGCGAATCGCCATGGTTGTGCTTTTAAACCCATCTCACTTCCCTCTGTGTTCACTCTGCCCTCTCTCCGTTAGTAAACGTGCGCGAATCCCTTCCCTCTTCGCAACCAATCTCTCTGTTACTTCGATGGCGTCTTCTCAGCGAAAGGTGAGCTAGTTCTTTCATATTCATGAGTCGCGCATCCTGAAAATTAGGTTTTACAATTTTTCTCGATGATTTTTTAATGTGGATGATTCATGGTTGTTTTTCCATCATTATTTGTGCAAACTAGGGTGTCTGTTTTCTCTCTTCATGGATAGGTGATGCTCTAGTGATTTTGGGATCCGGTTCCATTTCTTTCGACATTTTTTTTATTTGGAGTTTCTTACTTAAATTAGGGTTATTGATGATTTTTGATTAGCATGATCATAGGTAATGGTTCCAATTGCGAATGGCACAGAGGAGATGGAGGCGGTTATCATTGTAGATGTTTTGAGGAGAGCTGGGTCTGATGTGGTCGTTGCTTCTGTTGAGAAGGAGCTTCAGATTGAGGCATCTCGCAAAGTCAAGATTGTTGCGGATGCTTTTGTCTCTGATTGTACCGAAAATTCTTTCGATCTCATCGCCTTACCTGTACGATTAGTTGACAAATCACATGCCTTGTTACAAATTGTTCACATTCATGTTGACTTTTTTTCTTGGAATATCTGCAATTGTGGTAGAAATTGTTTTATTGCTTTGTCATTAAATTAATGCCTCTTTTGCTGGCTTTCGTGTACAAGCATATCTGTCAATGTTCTAGGAAGGAGTATAAGTATATGCAAATTGGACTGCGGTAGTTGAACACTAATTAAACTATACATTGTTCATCTCTGCATCGTGCTATGAATCTTTGTGCGTTCCATGGATCGGTTTGAGAAAATTGCTTTTTTGAACCGTTTCGTTTCAGGGAGGAATGCCAGGTGCTAGTTCACTTCGTGATTGCCAAGCTTTAGAAAGTATTGTTAAGAAACATGCAGCTGAAGGGAGGCTTTATGGTGCTATTTGTGCTGCCCCAGCTGTAGCACTTGACTCATGGGGTTTACTGAAGGGATTGAAAGTAAGTTCCTAAATAAGACAGGGAAAATTGCATAAAACTCCAGGATTTTCTAAGCAATTTACCCCCAACCTAACTTTTCCTAGCATCTTTTTCCCCAAAACCATGTTTTCTAGCGAATACCGCCAACTCAAAAATAAGAAAAAAAAAGAAGAAGACTAAAATACCCCTCGTTTGGAAATGAGACTTGATCCGGCACTTCACCATGGCGGTCCGGAAGAATGGATGGGTCCGACAATATACAACCACGGTCCGTCGTTTCCTTTTATTGGGATCCGAAAATGATTTGTTATGCACATGAAGGGTATTTTCATCAAAAAAAAAGAACAAACGATCCAATCACTTCGACATATAATTCCGGAGAAATTTTTTGGATACATAGAATCCGCAGTCTCCTTCTTTGTGATCTAAATGATCAAGCAATTAGGAATAAATCTCTTGAAATTCAAGAAATGAAGAAAAAGATACCTCAACGGTTATACAGATTAACTACCGATTTGGATCGTTTGTCCCATATGTGCAAATAGAATTCGGCATATCTTTACCCAGAGTGGAGCATAAACCTAAAAGACAAGATTGAAGAGGCCCATTCAAGAACAAGAAAACTACACTGTGATTTTGATCTCGATGAAAGAATACTGAACTTTTTGTATTTGCTATAAAACTTGATTTTTGGAAAAATATGCTAATAAAAATTAGGGTGGGGTAAAGTGCCTAGAAAGTCTACTTTTGGGGGTTTTATGCAATTTTCCCAATAAGATAACCCAATTTTTTGTATTTGTTATTCAGTGATCAGGATTTGAAGTATTCATTTCCCTTATTTAGTTGCTGAATAGAAATTTGATATTCTCAGTTCTAGTGGCATTTATGGTTTAGAACTGGTTGATGCGGAAGTTGTGATATTATTGTATTCTGGATATGTAATTTGTGCAGGCAACCTGTCATCCTTCATTTATGGATAAGTTATCAACTGCAGTGCCAGTTAAATCAAGGGTTCAGCAAGATGGGCGGGTAGTTACAAGTCGTGGACCAGGCACTGCAATGGAGTTCTCTTTACTCTTGGTGGAGCAGTTGTATGGCAAAGAAAAAGCTGAAGAAGTAGCAGACCCAATGGTTTGTTGATCTCTTATTTGATCATTCTGTTGCACATGTTATAGGCATGAATGATACTGCACATCATGTGACGACTGGCCATAGAATGCACTTGATCAGGGAAATAATTACATTCTTATCATTGAAATTGCAAGGCCCTATGCTAGGTTGTTTCTTAGTTAATTGTCAATGGTGAGCTCTCTTTTGCTTGATGGGAATGGCACATAGCACTCAGACGATTGGTTGTCTCTCTTTTCTTCTCAATCTAGAGAAGAAAATCATGGTCTGATGTTGCATGTATTGAAGAGTTAGACGGGTAGGGGCCTGTATTCCCCACTGATATACCCAAAAAAAAAAAGAGAGTAGACTTTATCTGTTTCTAGTATCATGCTAAAATATTTTGAACTATTTTTCTATAATGAAGGTTGCTACTGCCTACTGGTCATCTACTGAATCAGGTTATGTACCGAAGTTGGTGGGAGTAGGAAATATTTTGCGGTTTGGTTTATTGGAAAGTCTCTACTTCTATTTAGGATTTTCCACTCTTTTCTCTCACTATTCTATTAGAGAAGAAAGGTTTTAAGAATATATAGAAATGGCTGTCAAGACAAATGAGTACAATCTTGGACATGGAGCATCGATTACTGGGAATGATTCCTTGGGCCTTGATCTGGATCCTGAATGGGTGAATTATATCTTCCAAACCATTGAAGAACATGCAAAATTGGTGGGCGCAGAATTATTTAGTAAAGAGCTTGATGTAATTGTGCACAGAGTTAAAAAGTGCATGGCCCTTGCATGGGCTTAGTCTTTCTTGTTTTTATTTAGCAATTTTCTTAGTTGCATATGCAACACAATGCGCTCCTTTATGCTCATCAATTTGCTATAAGAGCAAGTTTGGGAGGCTGGATTTAGGAATGACATCTATATAGTGTTGTATGTCTGCCATAGGAGCCTCTGGGGTGAGCTCACTAAATGGCTCCAATAGGGGTTGAACCTCTTGTGGAATTGGTTGAGTCTCTGCTCCATCCTTTGCCACAATGAGAAATAATAATCATCCACGACTTCCATTATCATCATTCACAACTTCCTGCCTGTTGTGCGCACTGATTGAATTAGGATTTCCCTTGTGTCCCTCATTACTTTCTCACCCTGATTGACTCTTTCCTCAAAGTCATCTTAACCCTAGGACAACATCTAACACACTAACGAGGACTATATTATCCAATAGGAAGTCTAAGGGACTTAAAAGCAAAAGGTTAGCACCTTAACGACCTAATGAATGCTTTAAAACTCAAGGATATACCCTAAAAAGCTCAAAAAATAGACATCTAGCTCAAAAAATAGACATCTAGCTGTAGGACAGAACTTTCTCTTGTATCAAATTGATGTAATCTAAGATCAACAACTAATGTATGATTCCAAGGCCCTAAAACACATTTGGTGAACAATTTAAATTCTAATAATGCTGGATATCTAAAATTTTAGTAGACAATCGTCCGTAAAACTATGCTGAATCAACATGCAATCAAAGTTTTATTGCTTTGATGCCTTGGTGATGAGATCTCAAGGCCACAATGGATTGAAATCTATCGCTAAAGAAAATCAGCTTGAAGAAAATTGATTCCAGTCAAATTTTAGGGTAATCTACAGCTTAGAGAGATGGCTTAGAATAGCTTTCAATCAATTTCCGAGGGTCTCCCTTAGCTTTTTTGAGGAAAAGGGTCTCCCACAACTTAATTATAAGGTTTTGAGATAATATTCTACAATAATTAGTGTTTTGAATTTAGAGGGGAATTAGGCATTGGGCTTTGTAAGGGATTTTATATTGGTTGATTTTGAGGACTTGTGGTTTTCTTTGTACGGGTTTCATGGTTTTTTGAGGAAAAGAAAGGAGAAAAGAGAGGAGAAAAGATTAAGAGACAAAGGGAGAGAGAAAATAACATGGAGGAGAGGAGTTGAAATAAGATATTAAGGAGGGACATGAGAAGAGAGGAAAAGAAAAAAATAGGGAGGGGAAAGATAAGAAAGGAGCAGAAACGAGGAGGAGGTGACTAATAAGAACTTAAGGAGAGAAAAGCGAAGAAGGAGAAAGCAAAGCAGAACATAAGAAGAGTTGAAGAATACCTCACGAGGGAGGGATTTCAAGAGGTGCTACGAAGCTTTCTCTATGGCTTTCAATCAAAGGAATCAAGAAAGCATTCCTAGTCTTTTTTTTCTTCTGACGTTTTTTTCATGACAATCACTGAGCGGTTGGACACCTTTCTTTCCATTTTGCTAGTTTTCAAAACCTTACTGAACTTGCCAAATATTTCAAAGAACCAACTACCAAGCAGTTTACATGGATACCAACACGTGTGTTGGTCTAGTATGTATCTGATAGTTAAGTGCGTAAGGGAAAAGGGTCGTACGTCCTGATATATCCATACAATACTTTAGCTTTTAAGTGTTGTCATTATATATTAAATTTTCCACATCTGTAATGTCTTATACCTGTGGCTTGTGTGGTAAAGCGTTCTTAACTTTAAAGAGCGCAATGTCATGGGTTCAAACCATAGTTATTGGAAATGCCTGAGACTCCAAATCTTTTTAGAAAATAAAATTGTGGAATCGCAATTGGCTAGAAGATTCATGTTTTCGGAATTGATGTCCAGACAACGGGAATTGCGAGAATCGAGATTCCTACTTTATAGGAATCGAGATTTGATCCGAATAGAATCGACAATCAAGATCCCTACGTACATGGAATCAAGATTTCGACCTCTTTGAAATCAAGTTTCTGACCTATTAGGAGCCGACCCAATGGAATTGAGATTCCTTAATATGCGGAATCCAGATTCCGACATCTTTAGAACTAGTTTCTAATGTATTTGAAATCAAGATTCATACCAGTTTGGAATCGAGATTCGTATCAGTTTGGAATCGAGATTTGTATCAGTTTGGAATCATCTTTTGACCCATGTGTCAATCGAGAGTTGCAACTCTTAGAATAAATACTCTTACACCGACGACATCTTGCTCTGTAACAACTTAGAATCCCATCAAGCAATCAAGATTAGAGGTATCTAAGACCTGACAGAGGTTCGTTAGATTTGAAGTCAATGTTTGACTGTTGAGCCTCATATACAATGTTAAAAGTAAGGTCAATCTATACACACTCGTATTCCACCTAGGGAAATTGTCTACAAAAGATACAAATATCATCTCATGTATTTTTAAAATGTGATTTTGTTTTTATTATTATAGTTCAAAATGGTATTTTGTCTGTGCCATGGTGTTGTCTATTTTGTAGTATATGCCTTGGATACCTGAGGTGAAGACGTGGAGTATTCAATTTTTAATGTTGCAAGGCCCAAGTTCTCTTAATTTTAATGCTCCAACACCCAAGTTATACTTGCCTTTGTTACCTACAGAAGAAGTTATACTAGTATCTGTTGCATGTAAAAGACGTTGGAATGGTTCTTGTTAAGAACTTAACTCTGGACATTTGCATTTGAAAGTTGATTTGTGGAAACAATAATTTAATAATGAGTTCATCGAATTATTATTTGGGGCACATATGAACTATGAGAGATAATTGTCTCCAGATTGGTGTCCGAATAACTCAAACCTACTCCATGAATATTTGAACCAATCCATAAGTCACATATTTGTGCTCTAACACTTTGGTATTTGATTCTGTTCTATTACGATTCCAAAAAAATCGGATCGGGACTCTATGAGGCTGGAAGCAAGATTGATGTTTGATTAATTTGTAGTTTCTTTCATCTACGAACTGCAATACTTGATGTTTAAGAATATGGATTTGAAAACAATCGAATCGAGTATCATCATATGTGGAATCCAGATTCATCAAATATAAAATCGAGTTTAAGCAATTAAGGAATCGAGAATCAATGAACATTAGAAACAAGATTCTATAAGTGTTGAAATCGGGACTCTTAAAATAAGGAATCGCGATTCCTGACTTCACAAAAACAAAGATTTTAGTAACTATGATTCAAACTCCATGGATGGTGCCCATCTATTTTTTAAATTGCTTCAGTTTTTCCTGTTTTATCATATGGAGCGCTAACTAGTGTAGGAATAACTACATCAAGGATCAACATTGAGCCTGTACCTCTTTGTCTTAGTTATGGATGACTTAACTAGGCACCTACAACATATTGTTCGCAGATGACATAGTTTTGATCGATGAGACCTTGATGCAGATAAAAATCTGGGGGCTTCAAAATTTTAATTTTAATTTTAGTTTTATTAATTTTATTGTTAGAGTTATGGGTAGATTATTTATTTATTTTATTAGGGTCAATTTTTAGAAATAGGATTAATTGGGATTTGTTTTAGGTTAGTTTGATAAATTCTATGTTTTAGAAAGTATCTTTTTTTTAATTTTTAGTAGGTCCATACTTTTCTTTTAGTCATCCTTTAAACTTGAAGGAATAGGATGATTTTTTATATTATGAAGATGATTATCTCTAGGGGGGAGACGTGGATTTGGATTTATCTTGAAGGAAATGTTGAGAGGATTTAACAATCTAGTCAAGTTTATCTTTTGGTGAAGATAAATTGAAGTTTAAGAGGTCGGACGTGAGAATGAAAAGTATGAAAGCAAACTCCTTTAAAAGGGAACACGTACATTGTAATTGGGGGATTTTGATTGAATGAAATAAAGAAAGTGTTTTCTTGTAGAGAGATAGGCCTTTTGTGGGTGTTGTTTTTTCTCTCGTATTTATGGTCTCGTGTCGGAATACTCGTATCTACGCGTTTTGTTCTTTTTGCTTGTGATTTCCTTCACAATTTTTATTTCTCTTTCAAACCCGGTTATTTTTGCTCGGTGGTTTTTGCCTGTAGTCTTATACTGCGTCAGGTGGTATCAGAGCTTAGTTGATTCTTGTGGATTGTGGTATTTGTCGATAGGCATCATGGCTCGTGGGCAAGTTCCATGGCTTGACATTGGGACTCAACCAATCCAACGAGAGCTAGACCTCCGAGATCTCCAAGAGCTTGAGATCAAAATTTTGAGAAAGAAAGTAGAGGTACTGACCTTGTGCTTGGCGCAAAAACTAGCCTCGACACAATATGATTACAATAGTGAGTTGGAAGCTATTTTCGAGAACCCATTTCATGCCAACGCTTTGTGTCGGGAGCATCATGGTCGGGAGATTGATCTATTTCTTTATGATTGGGAGATTGATCTATCTAAGTTTGATGAAGAATTAGTTGAAGATGAAGATCAAGTAGATTTGGATGTTCAATCGGAATCATCATTCTTTAATGTCACAGGTTACCCCATCTTTGATGAAATTCGTGTTTTTGATGAAGAACAAGATGAAAGAAAATAAGTTGTCCTTGAGGCAGCAAGGATATTTGATTTTTTTTTTTTTATTAATGGAGAGATGGAGAAGCAAGAGATTGAGCCTATGGAAATATTTGACGAAGAAAAAAAGTAAGCACTCAAAGGAGAATCCATAATTGAAGCTAAATCAGTTATCAAAAGTTCTTAGCTCCAAGATGCTCGCTTAGTATGTTTTAGGGCTGAACATAAACAATTCCTATGGATATACATTGGCCCATTCCTCGAGGGTTTATTGATTTCATTGCATGTTTTGATCAGTGCATTAACCCACAGGTTGCAGGATCGTGTTTCCAAAATTCAGATTGAAGAAGGTTGCGACACTAATGGTATCAGAGCATTTATTTTTGTCGAGTGGTATTCGCTGATAATTTTATACTGCGTCAAGTGGTATCCGAGAGAAATAAAAATTGTGAAGGAAATCACAAGAAGAAAGAATAAAACGCATGGATACGAGTGTTTTGACACGGGCCCATAAACACAAGAGAAGAAACAACACCCACAAAGGGCCTCTCTTTCTATAAGAAAACACTTTCTTTATTTTATTCAATCAAAATCCCCCAATTACATTGTACGTGTTCCCTTTTAAAGGAGTTTGCTTTCATATTTTTCATTCTCACGTCCCACCTCCTAAACCTCAATTTATCTTCACCAAAAGATAAACTTGGCTAGCTTGTTAAAACCTTTCAACATTTCCTTGAAGTTAAATCCAAATCCACGTCTCCCTCAAAGATAACCATCTTCCTAATATAAAAGATCATCCTATTCTTTCAAGTTTAAATGATGACTAAAAGAAAAGTATGGACCTACTAAAAATTAAAAAAAGATACTTTCTAAGATATAGAATTGATCAAACTAACCTAAAACAAACCCCAATTAATCCTATTTCTAAAAATTGACCTTAAGAAAATAAATAAAAAATCTACCCATAGCTCTAAAAATAAAACTAATAAAACTAAAATTAAAATTTTGTAACGACCAGATTTTGATCTGCATTAGACCCGGAACAACATCAACACAAAGTTAGAACTTTGGCGGGATGCTCTAGAATCAAAAGGTTTTAAAATTAGTTGGACAAAGACAATATTCAGAATGCAAGTTTAGTAATAATAAGAGTAGAGATGTGGAAGTAGTTAAGATTGACGGCTAGGAAGTACAAAAAAGGCTGTAGTTTCGATATCTTGGGTCAATAATGCAGAAAAATGGAGCGATTGAGGAAGATGTCGCACACATAATTAGAGCTGGGTGGGCGTAGTGGATGTGCAACTAGAATTTTATATGATGGCCACATCCCAATGAAGCTGAATGGCAAGTTTTATAAGACAACTGTGAGACCAACTTTGCTTTATGGGGCTGAATGTTGGGCGGACAAAAAACAATACACTGATAAAATGAGTGTAGTGGAGATGAGGATGTTGAGATGGATGAGTGGTAGGACAAGAAGGGATAAAATTCGAAATAAGTTCATTCGGGGGAATTTAGGTGTGGCACCAATAGGCGATAAGATTAGAGAGAGTAGACTTAGGTGGGCTGGTCATGTGTGGCACCGACCAAGTATAACTCTTGTTAGGAGGTGCAAGTTAGTTCAAGTGGAAGGACTTGAAAAGGCAAGGGGTGGGCCCAAAAGGACGTGGTTGGAAGTAGTTTGGAAAGATATGGGGACTTATGGCTTCACTGAGGATATGGCTTTGTGTAACTGATTCCACTTAATTGGGAAAAGGCTATGATGATGATGATGTTGATGATCATAAGATAATTAGTCATTTATGAATCATCAATGTCTCACCCTCTATGTGGTGGAGTGGACTTCATCCATACTTGGTTTGAGTTTGACTGAGGCTGTTATTTATTGTTACTTCATTATGACTTGTTGAAATACATATATATCGATATTCATTATTCTATCACGGTCATCTCGATAAACTACCCTTCCAAGAGGTCGCAAGTTCAAGACTCAGCAGGTATGTTTGTTTTTTGTACTTTTTAAATATAATAATTAAAAGGACACGGCGTGTCCTAGTGGTTGATTAGGATTTGCACCCATAAAATCTCTCTCTTCAAGGACACTCGCTTTTCTCTCTCTAATAGGATATTTTAGGGTTATCTTCTTCAAAGAATGTGATTAAATCAAACAAAATAAAAGTCGATTAAGACTTTCAAATAATAATTTAATCCATCTGTATTTAGATTCTCTAATAAGATAGTATCTTGACTCTCTTTCCTTTTTGTCTATTTGATTAAATCAACAAAATGAAGGGCTCTTATTGTGTAACGATAAAGGAGCATACATCCCTTAGAGAAGTAGCATCTGCAGTAGCATTGCTTATTAGGTAATTTTTCAACCTATTGTAGCATTTGCTATATAATCTTCGAAGAATTCTTGGAAACCTTTTATCTCTATTAATGCCCATGCCCATGTAGTTATATTAGAAAGAGGGTTTTTTAAATATCTTTCCTGTTTTTTTTACTTGAGAGAGAGAGAGAGAGAGAGAGAGAGAGAGAGAGAGAGATGATTTTGTCTAATGCATGCCTCTATCTTGTAGAAAGAATAAGACTCCAACAAATCTTTTCTAAGTTGTTTAAAACAGTTCGCTAGAAAGTTGGATTCACTGAGTACATAGCCTTAGAGAAACAAACTTGACTTCCTGTTTCCTTTGTAATTAGAGATTGGTAGTACATCTTGGCATAAAATGTGATATTCTAATGTGGAAAGTTAGGACTAGTCTTGTGAGCTATAAACTTGACAAAGCTACTATATCCATAATTTGACATTTGGGCACATGTGTACACTCTTTATATGAGCTTATGACACAAGTACTATACTTGGGTGTCTTGATTCTAGATCTATGAGCTTTCATTTAAATAGCATGTGTGGACTATTTATGGATTATATGAGTATTATGCATGGAATGTGGGAGGACCTTTTATGAGAGCTGTGTAACATGAGAACTCGTGTGATGAATTTGGGGTATAGCATTGGCATAATTTTAACTAATCCTTTTGGCGTGTTGTTCCTCATATTCTAACCTTTTTCATGCTTTCCACGAGATAAGAGGAAAAAATAGGAATGTGACATTGTTTAGTTCTTTTGGATGTAGAAAGAATAAGACTCCAACAGATATTTTCTAAGTTGTTCAAAACAGTTTGCTATAAAGTTGGATTTCTTTTATATAAGTGAGATCCTATATAACCAGAATTATGTTGTTCTTATTTTCCTGAATTTTCATGTTGTTGTTATTATTATTTTTGAAATTATATTTTATAGTTTAAAATACATTTGTATGTCAGGCCATACGGGGCATTGGCCTGAAGAACTAGGCACCCAAGAGGCCATTTCACATACTGACACCAGTGTCGGTGTCTATGTAATACTGGTTCGAAGTAGCTAAAAAATTCTTCTAAGAATATGCTTCAAATAGTGGATAAGATTCTCTATACAGGAAATATGTATTAGTTACTTGCTGCTTAAGCACTTTGTGAGTGTTCTGTTGATTATGATGTGATATGTGTGCTATTTTTTCTTGCTTGCAATATTTGCAGTCATGCGTGTCTTGTTATGCCTGTAAGAGAAGTCCCTTTTCCCTTTGTCTGTTGATACTTGTAACTTGCTGTTCAGGTGATGCGTCCATGTTCTGCAAGCAATCTTACACTGCATGAAGTGAATGCAATAGACTGGTCAGTTGGGAAAACTCCTCAGGTGAGGTTTAAAACACTTTTTTCCCGTCTTCTTTTTCCCAATAATTATGTGTGCTTCTCTCCATTTCATATGTTTTAGAAACCAATAAGCTCTTGTTTTAATATAAAGCTGTGATTTGTGGTTTTTTTTTTTGGCAGTTGATGATATTGTATTACTTAAAGGGATTGTATGTCAATAAACCATTCGTTTTCAGTACAAGGAGGTCTCAATCACCTTTAGCCATCAGATGTGAAATTCGATAGCTAGGGGCGTGTCACACAGTTTAATAAATTTTATTTTGATTTTTTGCTCAACCAATCACACAACCCCAGGCCATCCAATTTCACATCTAATGGTCAATAGCAATTGTGACTTACTAGTGCAAAACATAAATGCTGGTGTTATTGTATAGTTCTCCATAAATAAATAAGAAATATATAAAGTGTTGTGACCTTTACGAAGACAAGGCTTTCTTACACTACCAGAGTGCAAAAAATTTATCTTACACACTGGAGTAATAGAGGAGCTTCTAAAGGGGGAGTCAGAGAGGGAGAGAGATATGGAGAAAGGGGGAGGGAGTGGGGAAGTGTGGGAGATGGGTCGGGAGAGGGTGGGAGAGGGAGGCTTCGCAGAGGGTAGAGTGGGAATGTGGGATGATATAAGTTGGCCTACAAATTGACGGAGCAATCTGTACTGGCGTAAAGTTGGGGGTCAAGCCTTCTTTTAGCTAGGGAGTCGGCCGTCTCATTTGCTTCTTTTAACATGTGCTGAAATACCACTTGAAGGGGCCTGACAATTTTAAAGATTTGGTCGAACACTGCCTGAAGTTTCCATGTACAGGGGGAGCTCTTTGTACCCCAAGTTATTGTGTTCTTGAAGTCACACAGTCACACTCCTCTATGAGGGTGGATTTCCAACTAAGGTCAAACACCTAGTCCTTCCAGCAGGGCCTTGACCTTAGCTGTGGTCGACTCTGCCTCCCAAATTGGCCTAGAGAACAACTGCCCTATTTGGTATAAGCAGTCTCGAAAGAGAACTCCAATCCTTGCCAGTCTCTGAGTTGCTGATTAAGCAAATCTAAAAATTGAGTTTCATAATTCCATTGCAAGTGTGGGCCACAAGTGGGCTTTATAAATCTTCCCTGACCTTGACTGACTGATCTTGGACCAATTTTAATGGCAAGTCCCTCGCAAATTTAGTCACCCTAGGCCTCACCAACTTCTTATCTGTGAACTTCCTCATTATGGCCAAGGCCTTGCCATCAGAGTACATATAACATATTAAAACTTAGGAACTTTAGAAGCTAGATTAGAACAAATAAATATGCAAATTACAATTCCACAATGAAAAAGTAAGTTTTGAACTTATCGGTGTTGTCTATATATATATATATATACATTAGACAATTTATAATTTATTATAAGTTTACTTCCATCTGCAGTATTTAGAATTTGGGTGGTCTTATCAAAGTATTTTGTAGGTACTAAGCCTTCATTTATACAATTTAAATCAGCTCCAGAGTCTATTAATGCTAAAGATTGAAAACTATATTCTTCTCGTACTACTATTCGGATTAAAGTGTACCATTTTTTATTTATTACTTTATCAATAATATTTAGATGGTCTTCTTGTATTTCAGGTTTTGTATCAGAGGATTCAGGTTTTTCTCCTAATGAAAGTTTTTGGTTAGAAGTTATTAAATCATCAAATTCTATTTCTTCATTTGATTCAGGTTCAGAAAAATCTGTTGCCATCTCTAATATACGAATCCTATTTTTTAATTGTTGGACTTCAACTTGTACTTCATTTATCTCATGTTTTAATTCAGCTATAGTAGGTTCCTTTTGTATTGCTTCCCTTTTATTTATTCTTTTAAGTATTTCAGAAAGACTGTATTCATCTTGCGGTTTTATTAATTGTGGGGGTTTATTTTTGTTTTTAGCAATTTGCACATATTGGGTAATAACTTCTCTTTTTTCAGTGGGATCTAAAATTCCATCTATTAGATCTAAAATTAAATTTTCTTCTTTAGTAAGCACATTACAGAAACATTTTTGTATTTCATCGATTGAATCTTTTTCTGAATCAGAGCTGCTCCATATGAGATTTTCATCCTCAATTCTTCTTGCTAACAAATCATAATCAGTGGTTGAGGATTCTTTATTTGATTCGTCTTCTATTTGAATAATATTATAGAGCTGGGTTTTTATTTCTTTATCGAGTGTAAGGGCATTGATTTTCTTTTTTACTCTGCAATTATTTTTATAATGGCCTATTTTGCCACATTTATAACAGACTGGTAATTTTTGTTTTCCTGATTTAAATTTGGCTTTTGGCAAAAATTTTTTTGTAAACTTATCTCTTTGTTTTTCACGTTTTATTGTTTTATTTTTCTTATATATATGTTTTCTCTTGACTTCTTTATTAGAAGAGGGGCTTATATTATATCCAAATTGCTCACAAAAATCACCTAACTCCTTACCTGTCATTTTCTGTTTATCCAATTGTTTTTTAAGTTTTAAGTTTGTACATAATGCTAGGCCTTCTGCGCAGATTTCTGCAGAAAGTTTGCCTAGAGTATAATGAGAGTATGAAATGATTCCATTATTTTTATTTTTCAGTCTATTTTTAACCTTTTAGCATAAAGGTAAGGCATACTTGCTATAAATTTTTCCTTCCAATGGTCTGCACTACTGTCTTCTCTTAATAAGAATCTTGAGAAGAAGACATCTTTATACCATTTGTAATGAGAAAGAGTGGGGCATCTTAGATTTGAGAGTAGATCTTTAAATCTAGCCTCTAATAAGGATGTACTGCCCACAAAATGAAGGGTTATAGTATATATTAATGTATTGACAACATCACTTTCGCTGTGAGGCACATCTTGGTTATGCTCATTTTTTACTACCCATTGGTGGGTAGTATGAAGAATTTGGTTTTTGGTGGTTTCATTCATGTGAAAATCCCACCATCCTCGCAACCAACCTGTGAAGCCACAGATGATGGCTTTGGCAACATCTTGATCATGACTACCTGATACTTTGCATGCTGTGGCATACATAGTCATATGTCTCATTGTATCTAATATTTGATGATCCGACATTCCATCAATATTCCAGTTGATAATGGTCCTTCCAGAATAAGATACTGTATGGGATATTAGGTCTTCTTCGAATTGAATGTCTACAGGCGTAGGTCTAGTGTGGTACATTCTAGCATGAGTTGTAGGTCTCCATTTAGCTCCATAGGCTATTCTATCAATTTCCATATTGTTTTCTTTAAAAGCTTGTTCTATATTTAAGAGTTCATCTTCAGCCTTTATAACTTCTTCTTGGATAGGTTCTTCTTGAAGAACCAAGGCTTCTGATTCTAACATTATTCCTTTGCTTTTAGTATATTTAGTTTCTTTTAATTTTAATTGTGATAATCTATTTATTAATTCTTCCATTAATTCCTTATTATCCTCTTTAAGGATAAAACGGTCTTTATTTATTTCAGGAGGTGGTTTAAACATTATTGCTTTTTTCTTTTTTTCAATTTGCTTAAAGGGTTTGCTAATGATATTTTCTATTCGAGTAGCTTGCTTTCCCAAAGAGTGGAGATACAAATTAGTATAATTATTTTGTTCCACTAGGTGAGGAACTAATTCAATTTTATGAGTATATTCTCCAGGAATTATTTTATAGGGTGAAGCTTTAGTTTCTAATTTATTTTTCTTTATCACAATAGCCTTCTCAGGGGGGTGTATGCTTTGACTCCTTCGGGTGTATAAAAAGTCTGATACTGACTTTCAAGAGTATTAATTTCAAAATTAGGTATCTTAACCCTTTTTTCTTGAAGAGTTGTTTTCAACCATTCGAAAAATCCTATATTTTTCTTTTTTTTTTTTAAAATTTATTATATCTTTTATGACAAGCATCTATTAATTCTTTTGAAATTTTTTCGAAATACCAGTTTCTTATCATTTTATTTTGTTCTGACAAATAATCTTGCTTTATCCACTGCTTATCTATTTTTTCTTTTGTTTGCAGGGTTATGACTTGAAAGTCTAAATCTTCATATGTGCATTCACTGTTTGAGGAACTAGGTTTCGCTGATTTATAGATAGGAATATGGGCAGTACCTTTTGACCTCCTTAATCCTCTTATAATAGGCTCAGTATTTGAAGAAGTTGAATGTCGTTAGGATATTATAGGTTTTTGTGGATTAAGAATACTATCATCTAAAATATTTAGCTTTGTTCTACGAGTATTATTAAATTGTAATTCAATTTCTCCATCGGGGTGTTCAATTATCTGTTTTGGAGTTTGATTAACAGGTACTCTGTATTGTTGATTTTCATTATAAATAGACTAGGTTTTTGGAAGAGTTACCTGAGACCAATCTATTGTTTTAGGAATTGCAGTATTGGATTTTTCATTATTTGTCTGAAATAATATTGTTTGTCCTTTTGTGTCAACTTGTAACACATTTGGGCTTAAGAGTATTCATAACCTTATAACAAATTCGATATACTAAGACTATATTTTGTGATCTTGGGTTCATATCAAATCCTTGAGTTTTAAGATTAAGGGTAAGTACTTTAAGGAGGTTTGGATCACCTAAGGATACAGAAAAATTTGGGAAACAATTGAAATACATTGGGCCACTACATAGGCTAGATTCTACAACACCTAGTAATGAATTTGAAAATTTATTGTGACGACTATCCCTAAGACATAGCAATATTGAAGTATCAAGTCCTAACCTGGTAAGAGGTTTTACAACAACTTGTATTAATCCTATGTGTAAATATTTATAGTCTTTATTTTTATGAATTTGTAATACCTTTTGTGATAGTAATTGGAAGCTTTCTTGCTCACTGGTAATAGATAGATTCTGCTCAACTGTTTTTATTGCATAACTTGTCCTGAATTCAAAAGTTCCCTTCTTATATATATATGTTATTGGTACTTTTGGTATGTTCTAGTTTTGGATTTGTTTTTCAATATTTTCAATTACTATCTCTTCTTTATTTTTCA